TTTGATTGTTGGCATTTGTCTTTGATGGTTTTCCATTGACTGTTGTGCAATGTGGCAAGGGTAGGCAATAGAATCTTGCATTACCTCACCAGCTGACTAGGGAGGGGTGACAACTCCTGCTTGAATGTGTCATCACCAAGACTACCCTGGTGACTAATTTTTGCTCCAAGTTGATAAAGCCTAATTTCAATATAAATACATTATTCCTTAAATATTAGCCATATATATCTTGCAAAGATTAAGCACAGTTGCTAACTTTCATGTGGTAAATAAGCACCCTGACTTTCACAATAAGCCAAAGATCAAGCTAATCCCATTTCAAAACCAAGGCCAAAACAAGCCAATCCCTAAGAACCCCAACACTCTCTGTGACTAGATCCCCCCGGCGTGCAGTCTGGGACTGTGGTGGCCCTGCTGTGCACCCCTGACTCTCTTGCCCTAGCTTGCCGGGAGCCGATCAAAAAAAGAAGCAACAAGCTAAAAAACTAGCCAACAAGCAACTCAAGCCAATTAAGCCAAAAACAAGCCCAATTTTCGCGTTTTCCCCAGGGTTTGGCATGTCTGGTTATAAGCTTTCTGTAGATACCTTACATATGGCTCTTTATGGCTAAATATCCTGTAAGACATGTGCTTGGTGTAGTGAGATTGTCAGGTTTGAGGTGAGATTGGTTTTAAAAGAACAGGAGACTCTTGGCCGAGCAGCCTCTGTGCTACACATGGGTCCTCCTCCATGGAATGAACTTCATGCAGCATGAATATTTACTTGATCTCAATTGGTCAACTCAATATTGCACAGGTTAAAAGAGAGACAGACACACACAGTACACACAGAGACAGACAGTTGACAGCAGCACCAGTGTTTGCAGTATGTTTCTGTATTCCTCCTAATTATTTAAAATTTGTCTGTCTTTTTTCTTGTCATTCTATCCCAGGTGTTCACTGGGTGTGTTTGGGAACCTCGGCTGAGTCCCTCATGCCTTGAGATGTGTACGTACACTGGAGCAAACTCAGCCCTGAGTTATACCCCAGCAATCTCATTACTTTAGCTTTGTTTTTAGAGGTCTCAATGGCCTAAATTATGACTGAAACTCACGACAGGTTAAAAAGTGGGACTAATTTTTGAGACTCTCTTCCTATGCATAAATACGGGGACAAATTCGGCTCTCACATACAAAAATCAACAGAATAACATGGGTGTAAGATTACTTGGCTGTAACGCTTCTTCTTTCTAGACCAGTGGTTTTCACCTGGGGTCCACAGCCTGGCTAAGATTTCCAAAAGGATCTGCACCTCCATTCTAAATTTTTTAGGGGTCCACAAATGAGAAAAGGTTGAAAGCCGCTGTTCTCGACACTTCCCTATTCGGTGTCAGCAACTTTTATAGCCTTCTTCCAAAACCCAAGATTGTACTCCAGGCTGCTGTGCCGATTGATTTCTCTGCGGCCTGCTGATATTCTGTCTATGTTGCTTGGCTGTAACTGAGAAGAGAATTTGGCACACAGGAAAAAAGTTTGCAACAGAAGTTCAACTGAACTCTTGAACTTCCTTGATTTCTGTTACAAAGTTGATTGTGATTTTCTGTTCTCCCCTTCCCAAGCCACCTAAATGTGCATAAAAGTCAGAAACAAGAGAAAAATGCAGCTTATTTACCATTCAATCTTTGAGGGCTCAGTGAGAGCTGCTATGAATTCTAGGAGAATAGTGGAAGTAGAATGATTTTTGTAACCTCTGTTGTTTACTTAGCCCACGGAGCAGGAGGAATACAAAACACTGGTGGTTTTACAGTGTTTAGAGTTCTGATCTTTTACTCACTACATGAGTCATAACTTGTATGCAACGATCTTACTCCAGACTGAAACGGTGGGAAAGTACATTACAGAGGTAATGTTGCTTGAATATATTATTAGGGTTAGGTTAGGGTTAGGGTTTTTACTTCCGACACAATTGCCAGAATGCTTCCTTATTGTTATAGGGCCTGATCCAAGGCCTGCTGAACTCAAACGAAAGACTCCCATTGACTGCAATGGGCTTTAGACCAGGCCCATAATAGGATGTGAGGCTGTTGCGCAGCATGGGGGGGCGGGGGGGAAATGATCCCAAAACCACACAACAAAGTTATCTTTTCTCTAATGGAGAAATTTACCCATCCCACATAAGGCTCAAGTATCTGTGCTCTATGGGAGTGGAGTGGCTGTGGAGGTAAAACCCACCTTCCCAGCTCAGGTTTTGTGCAGCCCAGCCTAGCCTTCACCCTCTTGACTGCTATTCTAGTCTATGGGCTGGAATAATTCAGGGACTCTGCTCACATGTGAACCTATGGCCTTTCCAGCAGCCTCATCCCATTGTAGCCTTCCCCATTGGATTGTGCTGGACCCACACAGATGCAAGGTACTCTTATGAATCCATTCTCCTAGCAACCCGCCTGTGCAGCCTCCATGCAGGATATAATTGGTACAGAGGGCCTCATGCTACTTCCATATAACCAGCCTGGGCTGCTGCTTCTAGGTGGTAGTTATGCCTGAAACAATGAGGTTTTCAGGTATAGATTCCAAACGTCTGATCTTCCATAATGGATCCTATAAAATATAGTCTTTGTCCTCCTCCGCAGAGGTGCTGTCCAGATGAGGGATTCTTGGAATCAGAGTGACACTCAGTGAGTGGTCAGACAGAAAAAAGGAATCCCAGTTCCTTTGATCCTTCCTGACTTTCCTGTGAGTCAGGCAAATTAGAAATCTAAGATCTGAATCTGATTTTTTTACTAATAAAGCCGTTCTGTTTCTTTTCATAGTGCACTGGCATAGACATATAATTCAGACAGACCAATACCGTGTACTGCTGATTATACAAACCAATTGCTAGAAAGAGTAGTTTATTCAAACTACTCATTACATGAGTAGTCCCTCATTACAGTATGTGTCTATAACTTACATAAGAACGGCCGTACTGGGTCAGACCAAAGGTCCATCTAGCCCAGTATCCTGTCTACCGACAGTGGCCAATGCCAGGTGCCCCAGAGGGAGTGAACCTAACAGGTAATGATCAAGTGATCTCTCTCCTGCCATCCATCTCCACCCTCTGACAAACAGAGTCTAGGGACACCATTCCTGACCCATCGTGGCTAATAGCCAATGGACTTAACCTCCATGAATTTATTCAGTTCTCTTTTAAACGCTGTTATAGTCCTAGCCTTCACAACCTCCTCAGGTAAGAAGTTCCACAAGTTGACTGTGCGCTGTGTGAAGAAGAACTTCCTTTTATTTGTTTTAAACCTGCTGCCTATTAATTTCATTTGGTGACCCCTAGTTCTTGTATTATGGGAATAAGTAAATAACTTTTCCTTATCTACTTTCTCCACATCACTCAATTTTATATACCTCTATCATATCCCCCCTTAATCTCCTCTTTTCCAAGCTGAAAAGTCCAAGCCTCTTTAATCTCTCCTCATATGGGACCCTCTCCAAACCCCTAATCATTTTAGTTGCCCTTCTCTGAACCTTTTCTAGTGCCAGTATATCTTTTTTGAGATGAGGAGACCACATCTGTACGCAGTATTCAAGATGTGGGTGTACCATGGATTTATATAAGGGTAATAATATATTCTCCGTCTTATTCTCTAGCCCCTTTTTAATGATTCCTAACATCCTGTTTGCTTTTTTGACTGCCTCTTCACACTGCGTGGACATCTTCAGAGAACTATCCACACTGACTCCCAAGATCTTTTTCCTGATTTGTTATAGCTAAATTAGCCCCCCCATCATATTGTATGTATAGTTGGTGTTATTTTTTCCAATGTGCATTACTTTACAATTATCCACATGAAATTTCATTTGCCATTTTGTTGCCCAATCACTTAGTTTTGTGAAATCTTTTTGAAGTTCTTCACAGTCTGCTTTGGTCTTAACTATCTTGAGCAGTTTAGTATCATCTGCAAACTTTGCCACCTCACTTTTTACCCCTTTCTCCAGATCATTTATGAATAAGTTGAATTGGATTGGTCCTAGGACTGACTCTTGGGGAACACCACTAGTTACCCCTCTCCATTCTGAGAATTTACCATTAATTCCTACCCTTTGTTCCCGGTCTTTTAACCGGTTCTCAATCATGAAAGGACCTTCCTTTTTATCCCATGCCAACTTAATTTACATAAGAGCTTTTGGTGAGGGACCTTGTCAAAGGCTTTCTGGAAATCTAAGTACACTATATCCACAGGATCCCCCTCGTTCACGTGTTTGTTGACCCCTTCAAAGAACTCTAATAGATTAGTAAGACACGATTTCCCTTTAGAGAAACCATGTTGACTTTTGCCCAACCATTTATGTTCTTCTATGTGTCTGGCAATTTTATTCTTTACTATTGTTTCGACTAATTTGCCCGGTACCGACGTTAGACTTACCGGTCTGTAAGTGCCAGGATCACCTCTAGAGCCCTTTTTAAATATTGGCATTACATTAGCTATCTTCCAGTCGTTATGTATTATGAATGCACCTGGAGCTATTGTGTTAGAAACATATAGAAATTTAAAAAAAATAAAAAGCAGTCAAATCAGAATTCTGAAATATAGTGTTGAATTTAACAGCCTGAGTCACCACAGCCTTACACCATGTTGCAAAGTATATGCAAAATCCGAATGGCAGCATTTTATACCCACTTTGCATACGTATAACTGGCTGGCCAAGTTCCACCCTATTATTCATTGTGTTATCATCACTGGAAATTAAAGTGAAATGCTTTTTTATTTGTCTGGCCTATATTGAATGTGCATCATTCTGGGTTTTATTTTATCTGGGTATTTGGGGAAAGAAGAAACCTTCTTCCTTACACTATGAATCTCTCTTAATATGCAAGTTCATTCATTGGTGCCCTCAATTTTTCCCAAGTCCACTGGTGGCTGAAGTCCAACTCCCAGCGGCATTCAAGGATGAAAAGTAGTAAGAGATTCCATAATAGAGGGTTTTCTGAAAAACTGTATTAAATATATTTTCCATCTCTCTCACACATAGGGTCCAACTGCATCAACAGGATCTGTGTTGTCCACTCTAACAAGTGGGCAGTGCCTCCCACCACCCCCACCTCCACCGCTGCCCCCAGGACCTCCTCCTGTCTTCGATACAGACAGTGGAAAGGATGAAGCAACCACGTCTCGCTCAGCCTTGTTTGCCCAGCTTAACCAGGGAGAGGCAATTACCAAAGGTTAGAGGGAAATAGTTCAACTTGTCACTCTTCAGCCAACGGATACTAGCTACTGCTAAACGTACTTAGCCAAATTCTCCCTTCAGTCACATCCGTACAGCCTAGGCATCTAAATTCATACTGAGGCACCCAAATAAATAGCCGGATTTTCAGAGATATTGAGCACTGGCAACTCCCATTGAATAATTAGGATCTCATAGGTGCACCTTTGAAATTCAGGCCACTTATTTAGATCCCTCAGTGTGAATTTGGGCACCTTATTATAGGCACCCAAGTTTGACACTTTGGGTCCTGGTGACTTCAGTGGCAGTGCCCAGATGTCACTCAGACCAGAATTTGTCCACTCTGCATTTTTACACCCAGTACACTGATTTGTACGGAGACATTGGTTTAGATAAGCAGGTACCGATTGCTATACTGCTGTATAATGTTGTTGTAAGAACACCTAGATAAAGCTATTCTCAAGAAGACTGGACAGTCTTCATTAGTGTACACAGCTTTGAGTTGAAATATACGCAGTACAGTAAAGTTCAGTCTTTGGCCCTAGGTATTCTGAGGATGGGTGCATTACAATCAGATTAGATAGAGAATCTAATTTTCACAGAGAACCTATAAAATGAATGGAGTGGTAGCATGCACAGATCACTACAGATATAGTGAACCTTTAGATCTATGTACAGAGAGATGCCAATAGACATTGCTAAGCTTATCTGTGAAGACATAACACCAGCCCATTCACAGTAAAAGAACTTTTATTTAAAAGTATGAGGCCAGACAGTTCCTTTTTGGCTAAATACCTAAAGCAGCATAAAAGCGTGTTGGACATTTTAATACATTTGTAATCAAACTAGCTATGGTATTCTCTTCCCTGTTTTAATATTAACCTCCCTAGGGGCCTAATGCTGTGAGAGAGACTCTTAGGCATATTAGCACCTCTTTGTTTATTTTTGTTTGTTTTTTTAGGGCTACGACATGTCTCAGATGACCTGAAGACCCATAAGAATCCCAATCTACGTGCTCAGGGTCCGCCAGTTCGTTCTCCTACAAAAAGCCATACTCCAAGCCCCACTTCTCCCAAAAATTCTCCTCAGCAGATCCATTCTCCTTTGTTAGAACTAGAGGGAAAGAAATGGAGAGTGGTAAGTTCAGCTCACATCTCATATACACGTGTACTTGTGCCTGGAATATCCCTAGATGGATTGTACCTGCCTGAGGCACACTCTCTCCAGTGCTCCTCCGGGGGCACAACGGCTCTGCACTTAGCCACAGCTTATTCCTTAATATTCTTGTGGGATTTATAGCTTGTTCATTTGTTGGTGAGAATAGTATAATAATTTACCTGAACTGGAAAATACTGTTATAAGGTTCAGAACCAATACTTTAGTTCTTAACTCAGTCAAAAAGTCCCTCAGCAGGAAACCCAGAGGGAGCTCCAATTGAGTAAGGTCCCATTGTGCAAGCCATTTTTACGTATGAGAGATATAGTTGTTGTGACACAATGGAAGTTCTCATTTATTAGCCAGTGGAAGCACCGCTGTCTAGGTACAGTACTCATATCATCACAATATCATAGTATTTACAAATAGAGAAAACGATTGTTCTCCATCTTCTTTCCCAGCCCATAGAAGAAATAGATTAAACTAATCAAAGGGGGTTTTTTTGGTGGGGGGGGGGAGGGGGGTTGCATGTGCATGCAAAGAACTTATTAAATGGAAAATTACATTGTTTATAAGAGGGGGGAAGACAAGACATGATTTAGTCAGTTGGTAGCTTACATAGGCCCTTGTTTGCATGGGTCACAGTGTGCATGAGGGACAGCCATTGTTTACATGGGTTGTGCTATGCTAGTGTTAGAATATTCCAGGTACTCTCACTGAGACAGGAAAGTGCAGTAAAGGCAAAACATGGGCGAGCCCCTGTGTACATGCTAAGTAGACCAGCATTTTGCTATGAATTCTGTTTTACCATGCTGGGACAGGCAGCGTATAGCTTACGTACCTCAAGTCTCCCATTGAAATCAATTAGAAGTCTTGAGCACAAAATGGGCCCTCAGTGTCTTACAAATAGAAGGGAAGGTCTTCATGCACTACTCCTTGTTGGATACTGCTTTGCTCACACCTAACCCTAATGAATTATATAACAGTATGGCACCAACAACTTGTTCTATTCCTGAAGGAGCCTACTTGTTCTAAAACTGGGTGGTAACCAAGCAACAACTTCACTGGAATAGTTTTAAATAGTTGAGTATATAAGAACCTAGTACCAAAATAAACATTTTTTTGTCTTGGTCAGTGTTAAGATCTTCACAACACAGACACTTCAGCTCTAAGTCATGCACACACAGCACTGAATATGTGCCCTCATAAACCCAATCAGTTAGACTCATCACAGGCGGAGATAAATGAGAATCTTTTTTTCCCCCTTCTCTTTCTATGTGAAGATGCAATGACTGGAATAAGTTGTGCTTAAAGTCTACCTTAGTGCTGCCTTATTAAAGATAGTGAAACCAGTATGTGCGTTTTTTAAAACAGGAATACCAAGAGGATAAGAACGACCTTGTTATTACTGATACTGAACTCAAACAAGTGGCTTACATTTTTAAATGCAACAAATCTACACTACAAATGAAAGGAAAAATAAATTCCATTACAATTGGTGAGTGAACAGTCTCACATATGAGCTTTGGGGCAGTAAGTCCTGGAAAGATTTGCACATGCAGTTAACTTTATGGACATGAATAGTCCTGTGTAAAGTTACTCACACGTGTAAGTCATTGCAGGGTGGAAGCATTTTAATTTTTTTTTTTTTTTAAGACATCTTTTTATTTTGCCTTCATTTGTTTGGGGTTTGTTTGTTTGTAGACAACTGCAGAAAGTTTGGCCTTGTGTTTGACAACGTCGTGGGTATCGTGGAAGTGATCAATTCCAGGGATATTCAGATTCAGGTAAACATCCAATTAGAAAAGAAGAAGAAAAGAACCAACAACTTCAAAGTGGTATTCGGCTACTCGAGATGATTTCAGCTTCCCTGGAGTATACAAAAAAATTCTATATTTCCAAAAGTTACCTTTTAGATGCACTAAATTCTTCTAACTTGTCTAGAAAAAGGTTGAGAGTTACTATTGTTTTTGCCTTTGAGTTTTCAAGTGCCACTGATCAAGGCTCCCTTTTGAGAACACCTTTCCTTAATGTTCTGGTGCCGTAGTTGAGATCAGCAGAGGTATTTTCTGATAGTCTGGGAACTGTTACTTCTGGAGAGTGGTGGTCAGGTTCTCTCAATGAACAGTCCCCAGCATCCTGGTCCATCAGTGCCAGAGTTTGGCAAAGCTTCATGGCATAGTGCCACTCATTTTTGCCTAATTGGTGCTAACATCAAGAAGGTGGTTGTGAGGCTCAGCTAATTTTCTCCATTTGCCCACTGAGGATGTTGGGGTAGATTTTCAAATGGCACCTAACTCTCAATTACTTTAATTGAGAGCTAGGTGCTGCGCCCTTGAAAGTCTACCCTGTTAGCAACAGAATGGAATTGAAATGGCTTCTCTGGCTTTGCTGGGAGAAGGGCAAACAATGGCTTTTCTTTAAAATATCAATAAAAAATAAAACCCTCGAAACATTCATCAGCTCATATCCTGCCATCAGTCTTGAGGCTCACATTCCTCACTGAAATCAGTGGGGTCTTCTACTTACATGTAGATGGGCTGATACAGCAGAGTGAGTGACATTAATAAAGAAGAATACTGTACCATGCTTCAGAAACGTGGCTCAAAGCCACCACAGGGAGAGGAACAGCAAGATATTTTGTATCTTTTAAATGTTAAACAAGTGGATGCCATTACTACTAGCTACGTGTCTACTTCTGAACATTAACCAATAATTTTATTGGTAATTACTACATTTCCTTTTGTGGGAAAGAGGCAGTTGGGAGAGAAAAAAAGGGCATGATTATTTAGGAAACAATGATCTTTTTTTCAATAAATAGAGGATTTTCATTGTTAGCACTAGAACTATTCACCAAAGCTGAAAAATCTATACATAATGAATAGGAATGCCACATCTTGTTAAAATTCAAATAAGGGGGAAATATATTTGCTAAAATCAAAATGCCTTTGATGATTCAGGCTTCATGAATGTTGCATAAGATTTCAGTGCCTTATAGCATGGCTGGTCTTGCACTTAAAGAAAAGTATGAGTCAGGCTGAATAACAGCTGCTTGAAGCAGGCTGCAGTCTTCTTTCTGAGGGTTTGATCCTGCAAGGTGCTGAGCACCTGAACTCGGTCAGCACTTCGCAGGTTTGGTCATATGAATGATATGTTCATGTAACAGATCACTGGAATTCACAAGCAGATCTTGCCATAAATAGCAATAATAGTGCAATGCTCTTGGCTCTTGACCCCCACCAGTATAACTATTTACTGATTTTTTTTTCCTGCTGGGTTAATATTTAATCAAATAAAATATCCCCAGTCATACATATGATCCATATAGGAGCATGCTTTCGCCTCAATGGAGCTCCATTAAAATCAATCTAGACAGTGCTCCACTTGCATAGACTAGCCATAGAATCAAGGCCACGGTCACTTAACACTCTGTGTTTATCAGCATGTTGTTCAGGAACTGAATCTGAAATGTATTAATGTGAATGATGTGAGCAAACACTCCTTTTTATTTACATGTGAATATATATCCCTTGCTGCTGCTGTCTTCTGACCCTAACTAACCTCTGTCCTTTTGATACCTTGGCGAGCATATACCATGGGGCTCTAGTTACTGCTTTTGGGGGGGGGGCAGGGCAGAGAAGGGGATTCTTACTGACAAACAGTGACTCAACCACTTTGTCCTCTGGAGTTGTTTACAACCCCACAGATGCAAAGAGGAGTTGGCTTGTTTCCTCTTCTCGCCTCAAGTAAATCTTGCACTTGCTTTCAAACTGACTTAAAGAAATGTCTGTTTCATTTAAATTGTAATCAATTTCAGTACACTTTTAGAGCTGTACCATAGCTGGCAGGGGAAGACAAAAAAAATCCTTTCTTACTATGTGCTGCAATACCTCAGAGACCCTTCAGGCTGCAGAATGTTTTATGCAGAAACTTATAGAGCATCTCTCTAGTGAAGGAGTATTTGCAGTCAGTCACTCTGTATGTGTGTGGGGGAAGGTGGGGGAACTGTTTCCCCATAAGTCCCACTGACGTACATGCAAGCTATGCACTAGTACTGGTGGGAGCGTGTGTGTGTGTGCGCGCGCGCCCCATGACCTTATCTCCTTTGGTAAAGAGTGCCAAGGGGTAGAGCGAGTGTGTGTGTGTGTGTGTGTGTGTGTGTGTGTGTGTGTGTGTGTGTGTGTGAGAGAGAGAGAGAGAGAGGAGTAGAGGCTTGTAGTTTAAAAGTTGATGTTTTAGAACTTCAGGACTAAAGAATAACATTTAATACAGTTAAACAGTAGCAGCCTTCCCACCATCTATTAATTGGTCAATGCCAGTCTGTTTAAATCCCCAAATGTAAATGCAGCTGCCATACATCAGAGGTTGGTGGCCAAAGCCAGGATCAGAAGGTGGATGGGGGTTTTGTTATCAACTGTTACTTTCACTGACACAGTGACATTTGGTATTAGAAGCATTTATTGTTCTTCAGGTAATGGGGAAAGTGCCAACCATTTCAATTAACAAGACAGAAGGCTGCCACATATACCTCAGTGAAGATTCATTAGACTGTGAGATTGTGAGTGCCAAGTCATCTGAAATGAACATTCTCATCCCCCTAAATGGAGATTATGTAAGTGGAATATTTTTAAAAGACTCAATTTTTCTCCCTCTTTTAATCTGTGTAGTGATTAGCCTTTCATATTACTAGGCAATTAGGAGTTATAAAGTGCCACAATTTTCCCCCCAGCAAGGTGTGATTCAAACCATAGAAATAAACCCTCTTTCATACACCAATAGTCTCAGCTACAATCCATCAAAGAACACCTTTTCCTGGGGTGCAAGGTAATTCTGTACATTAAAAGAGCCTTTATCTCCTTCCATTGTGATGGAAAATAATTCAATGTCTCCTATGTCAATTTAGTCTCTAGACTGTGTGAAACAGATTTCTAACTATAATTTCCTGCCACACATTATAAGAACATTAACTCAAAGGTCAGGAAATGCCAGTGTTAAGGTCAACATAATCCCATATTAATTCTCAAATAATACAATGTATTTTTAAATACTATACACTTACAAAAAGCTTGTATCTTGTAGTACTTTCTGCGCATGCCAGACAGAGTCCAGGAAAGCCATTCATACATAAGGTGCACATTACCTGAAGCAAGGGCTCTGACTCTTCTACGGAGGTTCTCATACTATACTTAGGACTGCAGTATCTCAGCACCTCCTGTGGAGCCGTGCCTCATTCACTGCAGGCAATACAGTAGCAGGTTATCCTATAGTTAGACTGTGTTGTAATACAGACACACAAAGGGGCAGGGTTAAAGTTGTGTATGCAACTTTATGGAGGGCTTAACCAGGCTACCTTAATGTTCTCTTAATATTTTTGTGCTCCAATTCCATTGGGGAGTTTTTTGTTAATTTAAAACAAAACAAACAAAAAGCTAGACACTATACCCTAAATGTTCAGCAGTGACTAGTGGTCCTGGGTACCCAACTTCAGACACCTTAAAAGGGCCTCATTTTCAGAGGATGGTTGCTAAGCACTTTCTGTAAATCAGGCCCCTTTAAACGTGTCTTGAGCTGGGTACCCAAAATCACTAGTCATTTAAGAAAATGTAAGTCTATTGAATACCCTTGCAGGGTCTGAAGAAAGGAGCCCTCTCTTCCACATCTTAGGAGTATCACACAATTTTTACCATACAGGGTGTGCATAACCTGAGGCCAGGGCTCCAACAGAGTCCCTGGCCATCTTCACAGGTGCCCACTGAATGAGCTAAGGACTCCCTTGAAGTCCTGCATCATTGACTGTACATATTGTGTCTTTTGGAATGCTTCACTGTTAAAGTGGTAATGTGACAGTGTTTTTGTTACATGCACCTTTGTTCATCCACCCAAGACTGGTGAACAATTATCTTGAGATCTGAGATTAAATCTGCCACCAAATTCTGGGGATTGACCATGGGTTTTGCTCTGTAGGACATCACTTTTCTCTTTAAAATTCCTGTTAGTCTTGTCATTACCTTACCAGGTTTAAGTCCTTCTTTTCTACATTCCCATCCAGTTAGCTTGGCTGCCTGCTAATGGAGTCCATAGTCTTTTTTGAAACAAGGTATATTGACGTAGTTTGCCCAAATAATGAGGACAGGGGACTGTTACAAACTAGCACATGAACAAAGCTATATGAATTATGGTAGTACTGAGCTTATTTTCTGTGTGGCATTGAAACAGTTTCCTGCACGCAATGAAGAAGGCCTCTTTGTAATCCAGGCATGTCTGAGTTATAAATGCCTTGTCAATCATGCAGCACTAATAGTACTCCGTCAGTTTTTATAAGATATCCACTGTTTATCTAACAATTGTTGTTGCTCTTTCCATTTACCAGAAAGAATTTCCTGTTCCTGAACAGTTCAAGACAGCATGGGATGGATCTAAGTTGGTCACTGAACCTGCAGAGATTGTAGGTTAACTTCCTAATGCCATACAGCACCTGCTGACCACGATCTCAGACCAAGGTCAGCCTAAATAAAACAGCAACATAGAGAACTAGAAGTAACAGTAGCTCATACTGCTGCAGTAGGTCTTCAAACAGCAGCTCTGTACATTAGAAACAATGACATGTCTGGCACGCTTTTATTAGGCATTCTGTTATTTTTAAAGTTTCCACACAGTTTGCCTTCATTTACGGTTTTAATTCTACATGATGTCATGTGAACGTAAGGGATTTAAAAAAAAAATACTCCATTTGCGTTATTGGCTATTACACTGCACACAACAAGCCAAAAATATTGCATGATATACTTTGTTACAATCATGTTTCAGTGCATTCCTTTTTACGTTTCTGCTAATCAAAAATAATCTTAAAACCGTTAAGATGTTTATTTTACCTTTTAGACAATTCATGTATGATGTGGTGAACATGTACCCCTAGGAAGTGTGTGGTTCTTGTAGATCTGTTCTAATCATCATGAGGGGTTTTAAGATGCAAAAGTACAATTTTTCAGCAATACATTTTGCCAGTGGACTATAAAAACAGGATATTTTAATCAAACATTTTTCTAATATGTATATGTAGAGTATCCCTCAGCTTTCAGTTTACACAGACATGTTGTATCCCTTTTGGTTGTAAATTATTAATCCTAATATCTTCTAGAAAACATTACTTAATGTTCAGCATATCATCTGAACATTTCTCTGATTTCTCTTGTGTTCCTTTATTTGGGGCTGGGGCAGGGCGGGAATTGGGTTTTTTTGTTTTTCTTCACACAGTACCTCATAGCCTGCTCTGAAAACTGAGGGCAGGTCTACACTACAGCCAGGATCAATGCTCTGAGATCAATCCACTGGTGGTTGATTTAGGTGGGTCTAATGAAGACCCACCAAAATCAACAGCAGATCACTCTCCAGTCGATCCCTGTACTCTACCCCCAACAAGAAGAGTAAGGTAAGTCAACGGGAGAGTTTCTTCCATTGACACCCCGCGGTGTAGACCCCACGGTAACTCGACCTAAGGTACATCGACTCCAACTACATGTAGCTGGAGTTGCGTAATGTAGGTCGACTTTCCATGGTAGTGTAGACATAGCTTGAGATAGGGTTGTTTTATGATTTGGGGCACATGCTAAGTGTCAGATGCCCTATACCTGGTTTCCTTGCTGATTTTGTTTCTCTAAAGTATTCTAGTGTATAAGCCGTCTGTTGGGGATGTAGTCCCAGGGTTTGTTTTTTTGGTTTTTAGCCACTTGCAAGATTTGCATACTAATCTTCAAATATGTCCATAAATAAAAGCCATAGATGTATTCCATCTGAATTCTGAACCCAAATTAAAGGGACTATTTCTTGTTTAAGACCCTTGATTCTACGTTACAGTTCTTATTTACATGCTTTTTTAACACTAAGGTGGAATGTGCTATACGTTTTACGATTTCAGCGTGTAGTAGTCAAAATTCAGCATACATTTTTGATCACTTGTAATACTTTGTAAGAGTGAAATCATGGTTATATGGTTGCAAAGCTAGTTACAGGATATACATTGTGCCTACTGCACCTTTTCGGAGTACATAAATTCCTTCAGTTTTAAAGTATCTGATTGTACTACAACCAATAGTGCTCATACAATAATGTTTTATTATCTGATGTTTTATCTTTATGTATAATGTTGTGGCTTTAGTACATACCATTTTTGAACAGTAAACCTATTCTGAAATAAAAAAAGGAGTCTGTACTTGGTTTAAATACAGCGAGTTCAAAGTGCACTTTATTTAAGTGTTTTCATCCATTTTCCTAAATGCCATTTCAAAAGGTTTGAATGAGGAGAGGCAGCTCTGACTCCCTGCTGTTGACCGAGTGTCCTTTGTACATCATATCCAACCCTCCCCTCTCCCAGAGGATAGCTTGGATAGAATGTATTAGTGATAACGGGCAGACTTATAGTTTCAAAATTAAAGCCTTAGTGGCAACCACAGAACTTCAGAGGCCCTCACTTTAAATAATTGCATTGTATAACATCACTCTCTCTTTTTGGTGCACCTGTATGTGCTATAGGTTATGTCCTGGAAATGACCATGTTCAAGTTGGAGTTACAGAAACTTTGTTTCTAGTCTCAGCTCTGCCACTAACTCATTGTGGGCCCATGGGCATGTCCCTTTTCGGCTGATTGTCAGAGATGCACAGCATAGCATCATCCACTAGTTGTGCAATATATTTCACCTGGATGTAGAGCACATACCTAAAGAAACAGGCGGCCGGTGTAGGTCATGACAGAACAGTTTATTAACATTAACAACACTAATAATTTCTGCCGTAAAACAATCACACATAGGAACATTCTAAACCTGAGCCACTGACTTCTCTTCTAATCCTGCATCTGATATTGATACTATGTATGTCATCACTCAGCAATATGATGCCAACCAACCCTTTGGACTGCTGAAGCAAAACAAGTGTTGAATACTCAAAAACAACAGGAAGCAGATATACATCTCTGACTTATAGGAGGCAGGCAAATAATTTCAAAATATCCCCGTGAGGAACCAGGGATACTGATTCTCCCCTGAAATAAGTGGCTGTTTGAGGGGCTGTATACTTGTATGACTTTTCTCCTAAATATTTGCAGGGAAAACACCACTATGGTACAGCTTTCTCCCTACGGATTATGTTCCTGCAAATGTTTTACAAATATTGCAGAAAAGGCATTTCTAAGCAATTATCCTATTAACTGTTGATATCAGATACATGTGCCCTTGCTACACTTTTTTTAAAGTGCAGTTTAGTTTCCTTGCCATGCACTCTCATGCAGGATGGGCTGCACCCTGCCCTACAGTGGAAACCCATCTTTAACGTATCTATGGGACGTGAAGGAAGAGGATCTTTTTTTAAAAATCCCAGCTTCTGACGCCACCTAATACACATCTATGTACAGATGCCTCTAAAGAATAATCCTCTACTGAAAATCATATATAAAATCATGTTGGTAAAGAAATGTACATGCCTCCATCCTTCAGGCATTCTGCATAATGACAATCTGATGAGTTGTGCCAACTTTAATTGATTGTCTGCAGGTCTGAGCTACACTTAATGCCTTCCCCAGTTCTGTTGCTACAACCAATATATCACGACTTTAGGTGAGGAATAAGCAGGAATGAGCAGCCCTAATGTGCAAAGATTGTTTTGCATTATCTTGTGCCGATTCCAGCTATCTGTGTCCAAGTCACACCCTCATTGTGCTTTTCTGTACCAAAATTGTGGTTATTCTTGATATTAACTGTTGCACCAATTTAAATTGTACAGCACCACACTAGCTAGAACCCACTTGGGTGCATACAGTGATCTTGAGAGAACAATTATTTAAACATGTGTGCTATCTATGGGGATAATTGTGGCATGCAGGACAGTTATCGCCTTTTTGATGAAGAATTACACAATCAACGTAGTGTGATTTTCATGAAGTTTTGCACCCATGTAAATATTGGAAATAATGCAGAGAACAGGCCCTTTTGAACTTTAAAGCCTTTATTCTCAATGTTGTCATTCTCTGTATATTTTTGTTTGTTAATGGAAAGAGATGGGAGTTATGAGGTGGCCAAAATAGCAGCTTCTAGTTTCAGTGGCTGAAGGGTTGTAGCTTTAGGAGTGAAGAGTCAGCCTTGTATCCAAGGTAATAAATACAGGACACAAGGTTGTATCTTCTAAACACATCTCAACTTCTTTTCATCAGTGTAACTATAGATAAATGCGATTGTTATCATTTTACTCCTAGAGACAATATCTAGACTTTGGAACCACAGGTTAAAATCCTTCTGGCATCAATTCCGCCCTTTATCCTTCCAAGGTGTATAAACTGAGAACCATAAGTTGTTTACTGTGTACGTCCTTTTTTATTATCATACCTTCCCTGAGGGCCTGTCTGCTTTGCATGGATGTTAGAGATCCTATGACACTTTCCACAAAGTAGGGGGTTGCTTCATTGTTCTTAGCCAAAAGCATCCCTTCTCCCAGGGCTGTCCCTAGCTATTCTGGGGCCCTATGCAGCTCCCCCCACCCCACGAGGGGTGGGGTGGGGCCCCAAGCCTCCACAGGTTGTGTGGGGCTGGGCTCAGGCCTCCATCGGGGAGGGAGGGAGCTGGCTTGGGGGGAACCACCCCCCAGCACTCACCGGCTGCGTGGCTGCGGCCAGGTCCCTGCACTTCCTGCCGCCGGTGAGTGTAGGCCTGACCCTGCTGCACTCCTCAGGGGTGGGAAGAGGCAAGGGGGGGGGAGCAGAGCAGGGGCAGGGACTTTGGGGAAGGGGTGGAGTGGGGGCAGAGGTGGGGCGGGGGCCATGGGGAAGAGGTGGGGCAGGGGCTAGAGCAGCACGCAGCTGTGCAGTGCACCAGGAAATTTGGTACCTCAAGTTTCCTGGTGCCCTACGCAGCTGAGTATTTTGCGTATGGGTAAGGACGGACCTGCCTTCTCCACACTTTTGTGCCGTTTATTGGCTGGCTGGCCGGCCACTGCCATCCACTCCAGAGGTGACTGCATTTCAGTGATACTGTAAGTATGTGGCCAAAAGGACACATGCAAGGTGTGTTGCCAAATAATGAAAATAATTACTGCATAATACAAAGTTTGCATGTAATGGTGTTAGAATGATCAAGTTTGTAGAAAGCCCCAAAATAATAAAGGTTTCATTGCTTGATACTGTGGGGCAACATCCCATATGAAGTTCATCACCCTTTGTTGACACTTAGCCTTTGTCTCTACTGCCTTGCACTTTGTGTAGTATTTGGGCCTAGAGAACCTGCTCTTGCCAAATTAAAAACATAAGTTTTGCCATGGATTTTAATGGGATCAGGATCAGACCTTAAGTACTTTAAGGAATATGCGATTCTAGAAATAATCCCAACATTATATAATAGAATCTGTGCCAATTTTTGATACAGACTGATGACAGGATATATCCCTGAAAGCAGAAACTCAGGTAGTAAATACAATAATTCCCCAACCCTTATCAAGAAACGGTGAATTGGCCCTTTGTTTCTTATTATCTTAAAAAGGAAACTCTGTAAAAATCCTGATTTAATTAATCATACTTATTAAAAATATAGGAAAACATAAGAGATTGTAAGTATTGAGGTACTGACCCTATATATCCACCAGGTGGCAGAAAACTATTATGGTGCAAGCAATTCCAAGCTTTGTTGGTAATCAGATAATGTAGGAACTATACTATTTATATAGAATACATGTATTAATTTAGAATTGCAGCTAATCCAGGAATTAGGAAAGTTTACACTCCAAAAACAAGGCAAAATTAACATTGTTAAAAACAAGAAAAGATTATTTGATTCTGAAAATGATCATTTGAGTAAATACAGAGTTATAAAAGGATTTATTTTTTTTAAGAAAGTGCCGGGGGGAGGGGGAGAGAGAGAGAGAACATCCAGTTCTAGGTATCAGTGAATAATTCAGCTCATCCATTTTCAGCTAACCTTCTATAATAACCATTTTAAAAATAGATGCAACAGGAAATACCTAGTTGGCTTAGAACACTGAAGTCTAGTGAGCAGGGTTATTAAAGAAGGTGACAGGGGAAATAATTTCCAGTCTGCATTTGAAATACAGAAATCTTTCCAGTGTGTTCAACCAAAGCATTCATGTTATTATTAATTATTAAGTGTGGTTAGGGTGCTCGGCTTTGCACATGCC